ATGAGTCACAATAACGTGGCTCAAGTAAGTTGACCAGACCACACACTAGAAGGTGAAGGGACGACGACGTTTCGGTTCGTCCTGGACCATTCTCAAGTCGATTGTGTCGGACGAAACGTCGTCGTCCCTTCACCTTCTAGTGTGTGGTCTGGTCAACTTGTTATTGTTCTGTTAGCAGATTTTTGCTGGGGGATGATGGGCTTGAAGAATGTTAAAGACATTGGGCAGATCATTGATGTATGTAAGAAACAGGATATGTCCTAGGATGCTGTCTACGGTTAGTGGGAGAGGTTATATCATTGATAGCTACATACTTGTGTCTGTTACTAAGATAGGATCGAATATAGTTCAGGGCAAGGCCTCGGATCCCATAATGGTGGAGTTTAAGTAAGTGTTTTTTTTTTTGCCCGAAACGCTATGCGTACTAGTGGCTTTAGGTACTGTATGTACTAGCTCTTTTTTTAAATCCAACATGATGTTTGTAACTCATCTGCAATGTATATACCTTTACCTGAATAAAGAATCTGAATCTTAGGTAGTTATGGTAAAAAATAGTTGCCATTTTTTGCTGACCCAATAATCTGATTTTCTCCAAGAAATGGCAAACCTTTAGAGGTAAGAAAGTGAATTACAGAAACCACACGAGTTAACACTTTATGACAATATTCCTGCTCTGGGCGATGTTGCTCAAGTAATAAAGGCTCTACACTTCCTTTATGCTTATCAAATATGCTGTCATGCTTACGATGATCAAATCAAATCAAATGTTTATTCAGGTAAAAGTACATACATACAAGGTGAGTTACAAAGGGGCCTGATAGCTAAGTGTACAGTGCTCTGGGCTCGTAATCCTAGGGTCCAGGTTCGATTTCCCGGTGATGGTAGAGTTTCTTTAACCGAGATTCACCTGTTCCCCTAGCAGTAAATAGGTACCTGGGAGTTAGACAGCTGATGCGGGCTACTTCCTGGGTGTGTATTCATCTAGTTGTATTCACCTAGTTGAATACTCTAATTGAGCTCTGCTCAACTAGAGTATTGAGCTCTGCTCAACTAGAGTATTGAGCTCTGCTCAACTAGAGTATTGAGCTCTGCTCAACTAGAGTATTGAGCTCTGCTCAACTAGAGTATTGAGCTCTGCTCAACTAGAGTATTGAGCTCTGCTCAACTAGAGTATTGAGCTCTGCTCAACTAGAGTATTGAGCTCTGCTCAACTAGAGTATTGAGCTCTGCTCAACTAGAGTATTGAGCTCTGCTCAACTAGAGTATTGAGCTCTGCTCAACTAGAGTATTGAGCTCTGCTCAACTAGAGTATTGAGCTCTGCTCAACTGTCAATCAATCAACTGTAACTAACTAATGTTTTTTTTCACACACACAATATCTGGCAGACTGCCAGATATTTGGAAAGCAGCTAACGTAGTCCCGATATACAAGAAAGGGGATAAACAGGAGGCACTGAACTACAGGCCAGTGTCCCTAACTTGAATACATGCAAGCTGATAGAGAAAATGGTGCGAAGAAAACTAGTGGAGCACCTGGAGCGAAAGACTTTGTAACACAGCATCAACATGGGTTCAGGGATGGCAAGTCCTGCCTCACAGGGTTACTTGAATTCTACAACCAGGCAACAAAAATAAGGCAAGAAAGAGAAGGGTGGGCAGACTGCATATTTTTGGATTATCAGAAAGCCTTTGATACAGTGCCACACAAGAGGCTAGTGAAAAAGCTGGAGATGCAGGCTGGAGTGAAAGGGAAGGTACTCCATTGGATAAAGGAGTACCTAAGAAACAACGAGTCAGTGTGAGGGGTGAGGTCTCAGATTGGCGAGACGTTACAAGTGGAGTCCTGCAGGGGTCAGTCCTTGGACCTATACTGTTTCTGATATATGTAAATGATCTCCCAGAGGGTATAGAATCGTTTCTCGCAATGTTTGCCGATGATGCAAAAATTATGAGGAGGATTGAAACAGAGGATGATAGTAGGAGGCTACAAGATGACCTAGACAGACTGAGTGAATGGTCCAACAAATGGCTGTTGAAGTTCAACCCGAGTAAATGCAAAGTAATGAAGCTAGGCAGTGGAAACAGGCCAGACACAGGATACAGAATAGGAGATGAAGTACTTAATGAAACGGACAGAGAGAAAGATCTAGGAGTTGATATCACACCAAACCTGTCTCCTGAAGCCCACATAAAAAGAATAACGTCTGCAGCATATGCGAGGCTGGCTAACATCAGAACAGCCTTCAGGAACCTGTTTATGGAATCATTCAGAATCTTGTACACCACATATGTAAGACCAATCCTGGAGTATGCGGCCTCAGCATGGAGCCCGTACCTTGTCAAGCACAAGACGAAGCTGGAAAAAGTCCAATGGTATGCCACTAGACTAGTCCCAGAAAGAAGAGGCATGAGTTACGAGGAAAGGCTGCTGGAAATGCACCTTACGACACTGGAAAACAGAAGAGTAAGGGGGGACATGATCACAACCTACAAAATCCTCAGGTGAATCGACCGGGTAAACAAGGATAAACTATTCAACACTGGTGGGACGCGAACAAGGGGACACAGGTGGAAACTGAGTACCCACATGAGCCACAGGGACGTTAGAAGGAACTTTTTCAGTATCAGTAGTTAACGGATGGAATGCATTAGGCAGTGATGTGGTAGAGGCTGACTCCATACACAGTTTTAAATGTAGATATGATAGAGCCCAGTAGCCTCAGTAATCTGTACACCAAATGATTGACAGTTGAGAGGCGGGACCAAAGAGCCAAAACTCAACCCCCGCAAGCACAAATAGGTGAGTACACACCCTGGAAGCAGCTCCGTAACAGCTGTCTAACTCCCAGGTACCTATTCACTGCTAGGTGAACAGGGACATTCAGGGTGAGGAAGGGTCTCCGCCTAGTCCGGGAATTGAACCAGGGCCACAGAATTACGAGTCCTGCGCGCTGTCCGTCCAGCTACCAGACCTCGCTCCTACTCTGTGTGTGTTTGTGTGGGTGGGGGGGGGGAGGATAAATGTTAGTTAGTAGTTAGTAACAGTTGATTGACAGTTGAGAGGCGGGCCGAAAAAGCAGAGCTCAACTCCCGCAAGCACATCTTGCGGGAGTAATCATAAAGTTGGATTTATAGATAGAACTTGTACATACAATGCCTAAAGCCACTAATACGCACAGCGTTTCTTCTCCATTTTCATGTTCTACAATAACATTGCTGTGCTTTCAGTCACTGAACCCAAATGTAACAAAGGGAGATTCTTGGACAATAGGCGACATAAAAGCGGGTCAGACGACCTTGGGATGGTCAATAGAGTAGCCATTCACGTTTCACATACTCGCCATTCCACAGGTCATGTTTGAACACATTGTTTGATAAATACTTTGTCTTTATATTCCCTACTCCAGCTGTTTTATACGCCGTTTGAAATGTTGCTATCAGGATTCTGGCATGATGAGGGCCCACTACGAATCCAGTAATCTACTGTGTTAGTATCATTAATGTTCCATTGTCCCGGATCTGTCTCTTACAGTGCAAACTCCTTTGCTGTTACAGATTTACATTTCCTCTTGTAAAATGTCACCAGCAGCAGCAAGAGGCAATAATGGTATGTTTACTGAAACTGGATGATTGGCAGCAGGAATGGATGTAGATGTGGATGCTATATCTGAAGGAACAGTACTTGTGGCTGACATTGCAGGAGTAGAAGCTATATATTAAGGAATGGTATGAGTGGTTGTCGTTGCACCTGTGTTGAACTCCGATGTTAATTTTGGAAGTTTTCCTATTTTCTCCTCCTCTGTAGCTCTCTTCCTCTTCTGTGCGTCACTCAACACATTACGTTTCATTAAGAACATAAGAACAACGGTACCTGCAGAAGGCCTATTGCCCCATACGAGGCAGCTCCTATTTATAACCACCCAATCCCACTCATATACATGTCCAACCCACCCTTGAAACAATCGAGGGACTCCACCTCCACCACATTACGCGGTAATTGGTTGCACAAATCAACAACCCTGTTACCGAACCAGTATTTACCCAAGTCTTTCCTAAATCTAAACTTATCCAATTTATACCCATTGTTTCGTGTTCTGCCTTGTGTTGATACTTCAAGTTCAAGTATGTTTATTGAGATGGTTGTGTTGATACTTTTAATACCCTATTAATATCTGCTCTGTTATATCCATTCATCCACTTGTAAACCTCTATCATGTCACCCCTAACTGGTACTGTACTATATATTTTAAATATTTAGTCCCACACACCAGGATGTAGGGTTATATAATATAAGTATGCTTGCAACAAGCTCTAAATACAGTATTTAAACATTCGGCTCCCATAATGAACATGTCCTATGCTCGTGGGGACCCGGGCAAGTGCCCATTGGGCCCATGCGGTAAGACGTCTCTGTGTTAATCAACTGGTGTACAGATTCTGGAGTCTATTAGGCTCTATCAAATTTACATTTGAAACTGTGTATGGAGTCTGCCTTCTTGTTGGTACGAGCAAATTACCTTGCCCGAAACGCTATGCTTATTAGTGGCTTTAGGTATTGTATGTACTAGCTCTATCTATAAATCCAACAGTAAATTTGTAACTCTGCATCTATGTATGTACTTTTCGTGAATAATTTTTTTTATTATTATTATTAATATTATTAGTATTATTATTATAGCAGAGTGCACGAATGAGTCTGCCTCCACCACCAATGTTTATGTGTACATGTGCGTGTTTGTGTATGTACATAGCACCACTTCATCTTAAAAGTAAATTATTAAGTAATTAAATCATAATGTGATGATGAAAATGTATCGCGTAGTGTAATATAATTGTTTAGAGTAAATTGAATATAACAGTATAAATATGAAATTTCCCTATGGCAGAGCCAATGTGTTGCCTGAAATAAGAACAACTACTAAACATAACTGATGTGTGACAATAGGGAGTTAAATACTATAAAAAAGAGCTCTAGGGTATATGGGGATAATATTTTGATGCTCTTTTGTCTGTGAGAAGGTTGGCGTGAGTGTTGTTTGTGGCGTCTATTGGCCGGCAGGGCGCGCTGGTGGGCTGCGTGACGTCACTCGGCGCTCCTTCTCTCATCGGCGGCTGGGCTCTGGGTTCGGTGGTCGCCACACTCAACAAAACCAAGGTAATATACCCAGACCGTGACCTGTTTCCCCTCCCTGCACACCCGCGCCCCACCCTCTAGTGCCCGCCCACCTCACCCACACCAAGTGAAGCCTCCACACGCTTGGCAAAGTTGGATATTTGGGAGAATTCAAAAGTGACAAGAATAGCAGGGAACAGCAGACGAATACTTTGGCGTCACGTGGAGCTGCGGCAGGAGGCCTACAGGTACCAGGCCGGTGGCGAGGCTGGGAACACGTGGGGGAGGTGGGTGGACCACGTGGGGTGAGGGGCGGCGGGAGGAGGAGTGTTATGGCGGGAGGAACACATGGTCCACCCGCCACATTGCCTTCCACAGTAACTCTGGCCATTATCACTTGTCCCTTCCCCTTGCGCCACTTGATGATACCGGGGCTCTATCCCGGGCTCGATCCCGGGCTCGATCCCGGGGGCTCTATCCCGGGGGCTCTATCCCGGGGCTCCATCCCCGGGGCTCCATCTCGGGGCTCTGGACCCCGCAGCACATTATAGGCAACTATAAAAGGCCTATTGTTCAATGCGCACCAGAACGGGATAGGCCTCTGGGTGTTTATATGTTTTATAATTTATTATAAATTGAGTAGCTTTGTTACAAGTGGTGTTAAGGACGCCTGCAAGAACCTGTGGAGCCGTCAACCTGTACTGTATTGTGGCCACTGTGGTTAACATTCTCTTGACTCAGTTAAAATACTTTTATGAATTTATTTCCATTTCCCATATTAGTGCTTTTAAATAGGAATATTTGTAATAAAGTTGTGGGGATTTTTTTTTTTTACAAAATTCATTATAAAGAACATTTTAATAATTGAGGGAATTCATTATTTATAAATTAATATAATTCATTATTTGTAATTTGTCTTTGGGAAGTAGACAATGATTTCATAAATGGTATTCCATTGTTAAGGAATCCAATTTTAGATGCCAATCAACTCAAAATATATCTGTATCGAGTTAGCTTTGTTTGACGAGGCCCACTACCGACCCTCCTGGATGCCACCCACAACAGTTGACCAACTCCAGAATACCTGTCTTAGTGGTGTAGGTATCACGCGTGCTGGGGTCAGACTCGGGACTAATTGTGTGCCGACCACACTGGCCACACCAAGTTGTTCTCTGCCTCAATGTTAGGGAAGGTTGTGTTTGGTGAAGGAAATGGGCTTTGCATAAGTGTAGTGTCCAAGTAGGGAAACTGGTAAGTGGAGTCCCCCAGGACTCTGTCCTGGGACCTCTGTTGTTGAGCATATTTATATTAGTACAGTATATTTATAGTTACCAGGTATTGGGTAGACAATGTTGAAACTGCCAAAGCTAAATGCCACAAATTTGCATTCTCAATTCTCCCAACCCAATTTGGGAGTTGTGATAGTTAGAAATCTGAAGCCAAAAAGATAATTTATAAATTATCAGGGATTGTGATAATTTATAAATAATCAGGGATTGTTTTATTGCTAATGCTTGTAGATTTTCTTAGGCCTCATGCATATTATACAGTTAAGCTCTGGTCACTACTATAGACTAGATGTTTGGTTAAACTCTTCAGGTATAACTCTTATGTATATAGCTTTTCTCTAAATGTAGAGAAAAATGGAGATGGTAAGTTACATGTTAAACCAAATATTAGTTGTTTGTAAATGTGAATTTTAGTTGTCCACAAAACCAAATAATACTCGCCTAGTTGTGCTTGCGGGGGGATTGAGCTTCATCTCTTTGGTCCTGCCTCATCAGTCAATAAACTGGTGTACAGATTCCTGAGCCTATTGATCTATCATATCTATATTTGAAACTGTATATGGAGTCTGCCTCCACCACATTACTGTCTAATGTAGTCCATTTAACTACCCTGACACTGAAAAATTCTTTCTAATGTCTGTGGCTCATTTGGGTACTGTTTCCACCTGTGTTCCCTTGTTTCTGTTCCACCCATGCTAAATAGTTTTTGTCTACCCTGTCAATTCCTCTTGAGAATTTTGTACGTAGTGATAATGTCTCCCCTTGCTTTTCTGTCTTCCAGAGATGTGAGGTTTAGCTGTTATGGGAAATGTTAAATATTTTGCCAGTTTAGCAACACCATAATATAATTAACTTATTCTCCTAAAATGATATAATTTATGCAACTATTTGATTGAAAGTAAAAGTGCTTACTGTTGGACCCCTCTTCCCTCTGAAAATTTTAACTTTTTGTCCTATTTTTTATAGTCCAAGGGGGAAAAGTAAAACTCAATCCTCATTCAAGGGGGGGGGGACGTCATTTGGCACTAGACATGTCGATCATTTGCCACATTTGGAAAAACTAGGACCTTAGTAAAAGGATGCTGACCATGTATGGTCAGCATCCTTTTACGATATGGGACCTTTTACGATGTGCGATATGGGACCCAGGGTGTCACGGGAGCGCGCGTAAATTCTGAAAAGTGTATACTCTCTTCAACTTTGTCACCTTAATTCTCGTCCTACGAGATTAAATTTTGTATCATTGTGTTCGCAATAGAATTTTCTACAGCACTAAATGCATATAAACTCCAAAAGCCCGGCTAATTACCCGCAGCAAACAAAGTGCGAATGAGTTACCCAGGAGCGCGCAAACGCAATAAAATGTTTTCACTATTTTCACTCTGGTCACCTCAATTTTCGTCCTAGGTCTTTCATTTTGGTCTCAATGGGTTTGCAATAGAATTCTCTAGAGGAACATTAGCATATAAAATAAAAAACCTGGTCACGCTCCAACCGCCGACGAGTTGAAGACGGGCCACGCGTTAGCCGCAAGTGAGCGCTCAGACGCCTTCCAGCTACACTTCCAATTCCCGCCCTTTTCAAGCCTTTCTTTCGCAATTTTCTTCCTGGAAGGGCCTTGTTCATGATCACTATCCATCGTGGAGTAAGCGTAGATAGTTTCTAAAGCCGCAGTAAGAAATATAGCCACGGAAAATAGTCGAAATGTTCACACGTTTGAGATGCGAGGGGAGGCGACATTGGTCGCAACAGTGGAGTGAAAATAATGGGTCCACGGCGTGTGCCAAGCCGCCTGAGGGCCACGAGGCTTAACAAAGAAAATGGGAAGACATCGGCGCGCATTTTAACACTTTCGCGCGCCCTGGGAAGGTAAAAAAAAAGCGGTATGTGCGTGCGGCGTTTTTGCCGCGTAAGCGTAAAAACAAAAATGTGTATACTCTTTTTACTCTCCTGAAATTGGTGAAATTGTTACCCGGTATCGGTGACGGGACGACACGTGCGATACGGCGCTTTGAAAGTTTATACTTATTTCACTCTCCTGACATTATTATTCTATGTACGTCATTCATTTTTGTGTCAATGTGTTCGCAATAGAATGTTCTATAAGCCCGTAGGTAAAAAAAAGACAACAAAGCGTAAGATAGAATAGCGCCAAATATAAAACAACGCTGGAACATATCAGTGAGCGTCAAACACACGAAATGTTTTTACTTTTGTTATGTTTGTCAAGTTTATACCTGTTGCACACAGTTATTTTTGGTTGTACATTGATCGGAATAAAATTCCCTAAACAGACATATGCATATAATACATGATATGGGGGAAGAATTACCAGTATAAACGGCTAAAGTCACCCACCTGCAACCCGTTTGGGACACTCATGCAGACACACGCTACACCCAAAAATAATCTATGAAGGTTCGAGTCTACTTATGGCAGTTTATGTGATAGTGTTCATTCTGGTATCAAAATACAAAATACATTACCAGTATAAACGGCTAAAGTCACCCATCTGCAACCCGTTTGGGACACTTGTGCAGACACACGCTACACCCAAAAAAAAATCTATGAAGGTTCGAGTCTACTTATGGCAGTTTGTGATACAGTGTTCATTTTGGTATCAAAATACTCATTTCAGTTTGTAGTTCATGCGAATTTCAGAATCAACTGAATCGCTGGAGGTTCAACATTTGAGTCAGTCATCTGACAAAACCATCTCGTCAAATGGCAGTGTGCCAGGCATCTTGGGTTCTGATTCGGTTGCTGCTTCAGCTTGAGGTGTTGAAGTGAACAAGGGCCGCCTCACACCAGATGGTCCAGGAGTTTGCATGGCGTCAGCATAGGCAGGACCTGTGTCATCATTTATGTCTGGAGCGTGCCGCAAGTGTTAAGATACTGTTGCTGTTTGAGGCCAATCTTCCGGGTCCCAGCACAATAGGGCCCAATTTGCCACCTCGTGGAACTGTAGCAATGTTAGCTTTTTTTGATCAGTTGTGTTGTATTTGTACAAAACAAAGGCATTATGCAAAGGCATTTGCAGGAAATAAAACGTTATCTTTTAGGTCCACTTGTGAGTTTTCCGGGTAAAGTGGTAATACCATTTGATCGAAGTGGTCCACACCTTTCATGAACTTATTGTACCATGCAGCCTAGTGGCGAGAAAGAGAGCCACATGGCGCGCAGTTTGAAACAAACCCAAAGTAAATCGGATTAAAATTGAATTTTATACAAATATTTTTTATGAGGACATATATTTATGTCCACATCTCGGAAGCGGTGAGGCGAAACAGGACTCCAGGCGGAGTCCTCATACGCAGAAAGTGTTAAAACCAGTCCCCCAAAAATCGAATAAAAACCTGATTTTTGGCGATTATTTAAAGTGGATGACGCAATGCTGCGTCATGCCCGGGCGAAAGTGTTAATTCTCGTCCTAGGTTATTCAATTTTGTATCAATGTGTTTGCAATAGAATGCTCTACAGGACTAAAAAAGCATATAAACCCCAAAAGCCCGGCTTACCACCCGCAGCAAATAGGACGAGCGAGTTATCTGGGAGCGTGCAAAAACGATAAAATGTGTACAGTACACTCTTTTCAATTTGGTCACCTCAATTTTCTTACAAAGTCTCATTTTGGTATCAATGTGTTTGCAATAGAATTCCCAACAGTAGTATATGCATATATTGTAATGTCAAAAACCGTGGCGTGCTCCACCCGCTGACGTGACGAAAGCAGGCCGTGGTTACCCAGAAGAGAGCAGGGAAGCGTGCCAGGCCTTCCATTAGAGCGCGGTAATACTGAAAAGTGTATACTCTTTTCAACTTTGTCATCTCAATTCTTGTCCTAGGTTTTTGAATTTGGTATCAATGTGTTTGCAATAGAATTCTCTACAGGACTAAATGCAAATAGTCCAAAATCACTGCGAGAAAGTGAGAACGTCTTACCTGGGAGCGCGCAAGAGCTCTCTTCACTTCACTCTTCACTTTGGACATCTCGATTCTCGTCCTAGGTCTTTCATTTTGGTATCAGTGTACGCAATAGAATTCCCTACAGGAGTATATGCAAATATAAAGTCCAAAAGCCCGGCATACCACCCATAGCAAACAGAGAAAGTGACAGAATGTTACCCCAGTGAGCGGTAATAAAGAGCAATAAAATGGGTATGCTCTTTTGAACTTTACCTCAATTTTGGTCCTAGATCTTTCATTTTGTCATCATTGTATTCGCAATGAAATTCCCTACAGGAGTATATGCATATGTCCAAAACCGCGGAGCGCCCTTCCTGCAGCCAAGCCGAAAGCAGGCCAAAAAAATTTTTTTGACACCATACTTCGTCATTAGTGGATATTAACTACAGGGGTACCTCAGTTTAAGAGTTTAATTCGTTCCTGGAGAGACGGCTCGTATTCCGAAAACTCGTATTCCGAAGCTAATTTCCCCATAAGAAATAATGGGAAATGAATTAATCCGTTCCTGACTACCCCAAAAACCCCACATCAAACTAAATTTTTATACTTAATTCATCTAAATAAACCTACAAAACTATGTTCAAGTTATTACTTACCCTTGCTGAGGACTGCTGTTGGTGTATGGAAGATGTGAAGAGGAGGAGGAGGGAGGAGAGGTGTTACTGTCTGGAAGGGAAGTCTCCTTCCATTATAACATCAGGCAGTGAGGACTCCACTGGTATGCACACTCTGGCACATTTTTCCTGCATACCACTAGGACTGGCTTGTTTTACTAAGAATCTGTCAAGACACTTGTTTTTCCCTACATTTTAACACTTGTCTGTATTAAGACATCACATTGTCATTTAAAAGGTCAATGCAACGGCCTGCTACAACTTTATCTGGGTGAGTTTTTTCAACAAAACTTTGCAGTTCTTCCCATATTTCACACATTTTCTTAATCAAGAAGGGACATCCTCTACTGCCTCTACTCACAGCTATTTTCTTAGGTTGAACTTTACCAATGGCTTTCTTGAGACCCATGGCGAGATACATAATGACAACTTTTATGCTCAAATGGCCAAAAAAACGACAAAAAACTGTAAATCCTAGTGAAGAATTCAGGTGGGGTAGTCACTGGGTGCGAGACACTGGTAAACTGAGGCGCGAGCGCCGTGCCACCATGCGCTAGTCGGCCTGTACACGTATCAACAAACTCGTGTTCCGAGGTAACCCTCGCCTTCCAAGACACATTTTCCGAGAAAATCCTGCTCGTATTCCGAAAAACTCGCATACAGGGACACTTGTGTTCCGAGGTACCACTGTACTAAAATTTTGACTCCATACTTAAACATGTTAAGCCACACAGTACATAACTAGGCGACGCGTGAACTGTTTCTCAAACTTGCTGAAACGTTTTCAAATTTTTTTGTGCACAATCTACTAGGCAAATGCTCCACCTTTGTCTAAATGATCACCAACGTAACTTGAAAAACAAGAAAATATAAAATTATAAAATTGAATATTGAAAATTTTAGATTTTCAAATCGGCTTCAAAATATAAAATATCACCAGTTGTTCATTTAGTGTTATTCTCTCAGAACAGCATGTGATTTTTATTGTCGTATTAGAATATAAATTTTCAGTATCGTTTACTGTAAAAAAGTCAATATTGCATTTGAAATGTGCCAAATTTAGACAAAAAATGTATGACTCCAAATGTTTAGGGTTCATGAAAAATACGTACAATAGGATTGTAGAACAGACAGCTGTACACACTACTGTAAATGTAAAAATTATGAAAATTGGTATGTAGCTGGATTTTTTAAGCCGACTCATTTGAAATTCTAGTTTGAGATAATTGAAGTTATTAACAATAAGTATGGTAATGAGTAATTATATAAGTGATAATCCCCTGATCTGGTCCCTAATCATCATCGAAATTTGAGACAGTCCTGCCAGTTGTGACGTTAATTATTCGTTGGCCAATTTCATTCTATCTTCACATAGTTAGAGATGGGTATGCACTCTCCGGGATGTATAGGTTACAACAAAATCAAATAATAAACAGACAAAACTAAAAAAAAAATATGTTTTTGGACATTGGTGAAAGTAAAATATTAACATTGGGCATTGTATTTGATATATAACAAAATAAAGCATAATAACATACTCATTATTATGTATTACTCAGCAATGCTATAAAGGCACCAGCTGCATATCCACTTTGTTGACCCTCCTTACTATTACTATTCTTTTGTGCTGTATTGTATTTCGGTACTGTATTTCATATTTGGATGAATATTTTTTGGGTCCCGGCCCCTTAAGAGCAATTCTTAAATTGGAAAGTGTAGCATAGGAGCCTTGCTACGTGTTCCTCGGATGAGTTTTCTATCTAGAATGATCCCTAGATCTTTATCAGAATTCACCATTTTTTCACAATTTGTTGGCTCTGCCATAAACCTTTTGATGACATAATGACATCGCTTTAAGGACTGAATGTCAATAATTGATTTTTCTTCACATATATACATACATATTGCATTGCTTCTTTGCTAAATACATTTGTATCATTGGACCTTAGTTTGATCCAATTCACTATCCCAAAACTTGATTTTGGGATAGTTTATTGGTATAATTAACAATTGAGTATGTATTAAGATTATTTTCAGTGAAGGGTATTGTAAGTACAGTACTAGTGATTTTGAAAGTGCTAAATATAAAGTCTGGATTTGATGCCATCTTTTGATAATTACTTTTCCTTGCTTTCAGATCAAGATGAATGCAGAGAAATTAGCAAAGCTGCAGCAGCAAGTGCGCATAGGTGGTAAAGGCAGTGCACGAAGGAAGAAGAAGGTTGTCCACCGCTCCTCAGCTACTGATGACAAAAAACTCCAGAATTCACTCAAGAAATTAACGGTCAACAATATTTCTGGTATTGAAGAAGTGAGTAAACTGACCCATTAGTTTTAATGCAATTGTCCTTAAATGCACAGCTGTCTGGAAATAGGATGTAGTGGAGTGACATGTAGGAGCCAGATTGTTTACATATATACTGAGGAATATATTATTATGACTATGAAGACTTTAGCCCTTCCACCATAAATGTAAGTACAGGGCAATTTTAATTCAGCAAACTGTATGGGACCAACTGGGATTCATTGAGGGAATTCATTCCAACTTAAGATGCTAATCACTATGGGTTTAAAAAGTAAAATTTTAATTTCAGCATATCACATAATAGATGACTTTCAGAATACATCTAGAAAGATTCCATCGCATCCAATATATTTCCCCAGCCTTGAAACCTCATTTTCAAAGAAGAAAGCCTATATTTTAGTGAATGCATCTACTGTTCTGTAACTGGAAATGGAAAGGAACCATTCAATTTGGTTTTAAATATCCTCGATAGCATTTCCATGACTGTTTCTTGTAATGTTGAATGCCTCATTAAGAATCATTAAAAATGTGATCAGAACCATATGAAAGTTACCATGCATGCCCTAATATTTCCTATCCTATATGGGTCAATTTCACCAGGTGGAATTTTAACTCTTTCGTGCACACAGAATGTGCACCACAAATTTAGAGGTCATGCCCTGGGCGTGCGGGCGAGTGCGAGGCAACACCGAAATAAGAATACTCGTTTCAGTTTTCTCACCTTAATTCTCGTGCTACATCGTTCGTTTTGGTATTATTGGGTTCGCAATAGAATTCCCTTCAGGTGTATGTGCATATAATGTCCAAAAGCCCGGCATAACTCCCCACAGCAAAGCCTAAAGTTACCCGTGAACGAGCACCAATTTGCACACCACGGCCTAATGTGTATACTCGTTCAGTTTGATAACATCAATTACAGTATAGCTGTATGTCTCATTTTGGTATCAAATTGTTAACAATATAAAGGTGCGTATTTTAAAGCAAGTCCTATAATAATAAAGCAATAACTAGAATTTTAACAAATATTTCAAGTTTGGATGCTCATCATCCCAAAATTTTTTTCTTTCCAGTGTTCTGACATAAATGTTCATGTTACAACTTTCATTTTGGTATCAAATTGTTCGCAATCAAAAGGCGCACATTTTAAAACTAGTCCCATAATATTAGCACAATAAATAGAATTTTAAAAAATATTTTTAAATTTGGCCCAAAAACGTATTTATAATCTTCCAGGTGTTTTGACAAAGTTTCAGGTTACATCTTTCATTATTGTATCAAATTGTGTGCAATTTTAAGGCACTCATTTTGAAACTATCCCATAGTCAATCGGATAAAAACTGAATTTTATACAAATATTTTGTTTGACTCATTTTGGGGCCTCGTAGCCTGGTGGATAGCGTGTAGGATTCGTAATTCTGTGGTGCGGGTTCGATTCCCGCACGAGGCAGAAACAAATGGGCAAAGTTTCTTTCACCCTGAATGCCCCTGTTACCTAGCAGTAAATAGGTACCTGGGAGTTAGTCAGCTGTCACGGGCTGCTTCCTGGGGGTGGAGGCCTGGGCGAGGACCGGGCCGCGGGGACACTAAAGTCCTGAAATCATCTCAAGATAACCTCAAGAATGGTCAAATCCTCGGTCTCGAGAGGAAAATTGGTGACTCGTTTTAGGCGCCACGAAAGTGTCACCCTATCATTATGGACAACTTTCCCACCAATCTGTGAACTCAGGCCCAACATGCTAAGCAAATCTGCACATCTTTTGCTAAACTCTTATTCATTGAATCGGGTAAGTAAATAAGGCTTGGAAAGTGTGCGTTGAATTGTGCATTGAGATTCGCTAAAATGAGATTTTCTGAACTGTCAGTTGGATCATACCTAATAATTTCAAGAATGGAACAAACAGTAACTAGGAAATCTAATATGTCCTAGGGATAAATATGCAATTCTAGGCCTAATATATGCTATTTAAGGCATAATTTAGCACATGGGTTAATTTAGGCCTAGGGTTTGTTTTAGAAATTTTTCATGCCCTCTACAAAATTATTAGTACATAATGTTGTGAATGTTGTTGGCTGCAACAGTTAATTTTACAATTACAACTTAAGTATTTTGTATTTTTATATTTTGTAACTTGTATTTTGAGCTAATTAAGTAGTGGTGGCGTTGTGGTATCTCCAAGTCACATAGTTGTGCCTTGGTCGAAATATTAACGCTAGATTAAACTACCTCCAGCTCTGCATCGTTGGAGTTCACCTTATATGCTGTCCTCCTGGTATATGCTGGGTACAATAGTGATATAACATTGTATATTTGTGCTTTAAGATGTAAACTTAATAAAGCTGTTGCTGATTGGTTCATCAGTTTAAATATAATATTACTTGCAATAGCAATATTTTAAGCTCTTATTTCCTTGAATGTATAGGAGGATTTTTATGTTCTACATGTTGAAGGATGCTCAGTAAGACATGGTAATATATGGTGACCCTGTTGTTAGGTGTCCCCACTCCCTAGGAGTGCCACAGTCTTCTCGAGCTCTTGATCTCTCCTCTCCTAATCTGCCTTTATTTGTGTATCTGTGGTTTACATTTTAATGTATGGAAACCGGTATTCTGAATTTTCAGTCTATTTTTAGTTCTATATAGTGTGATAACCTTGTATAAAATGCTGCTTGCAAACACCATTGTGAAAGTCTTTAGGCTTTGTGAATAATTTTGGTTTGAATAATTTAATTATGAAGATGATTATAAAAATGTTCCATAAAAGTAATAACTAATTTTTTTTTGTTCATAGGTGAACATGATTAAAGATGATGGCTCTGTGATACACTTCAACAATCCCAAGGTTCAGGCATCTCTCAATGCCAATACATTTGCTGTATCTGGTCATGCAGAAAGCAAACAGATTACCGAGATGTTGCCAGGCATCTTGAATCACCTTGGAGCTGAAGGGTTTAATCAGCTTAAGCGGCTTGCTTCATCTGTTAGTGCCGGTATGTTGGAGGAAATATATTGATTTATCATGGACAAAATAGCCGTTATGTTGAACGAAGTGTATTAATTTATGGTGGACAAAATAGGCTGTCTCAAAATTAGTACTCTACCAGGAAATATTGATGTTGTATGCTGGTTGGATCCTATATTATGGCCTTAATATTTTATCAGATGCTTCACACACTTGTAATTTCATTCTAGATTAGTATAACAGTTAAAAGTAGAATAGTGTAACCAGCATGCCAAGAGATCGGCCACCCATTTCTGAGGTAAGCCACTCGGTTGTTCCCTAAAACATAGACCTTCCTGACCTCAGGACAGCTTTAATGTTTATTTTGGGCAAGTTCAGTCTGCTCTTTGCAGGCCCTCAGGCACCGTGATAAATTTTGACTCTATCCTTACTGGGTTGTCAGTAATGCTAAGGATACACTAAATTCAATCCAGTGATGGAAAACATTAAAAAATGTTCTTATCAGTAATTGTAATAATGTGAATGCAGATGGTCTTAATACCAGGGGGAACTACTTGTCTCATCATTTCAGTAACAGAAAGGAAACTTCAAAGAATTTCCTTTCATTCTTTCTACAAGGGCTTTCAAATTATCAGAAGTGAGAATGAATGTGAGAGTAACACTGCCAGAAATTGCCTTGGTCATGAGGAAATAGTGTATGTAGGTGGCTAAATTACAAATGTACATCATAGTCATGGTTAACAGGATAAGGGGATAGTAGTAGTGGTTATATTTAATTTCCCAGTTTACAGGTGATAAAACAATTTGTATTCTAAGCAGTGTTAGTAGTGGTGGCGTTGTGGTATCTCCAAGTCACATTGTTGTGCCTTGGTCGAAATATTAACGCTAGATTAAACTGCCCCCAGCTCTGCATCGTTGGAGTTCACCTTATATGCTGTCCTCCTGGTATATGCTGGGTACAATATTTATATGCACTCAATAATTTTATACCAATTTATATCAAAATAATTTTATAGAAATAACCAAACAGCTACATCAGGATAATGTCTTTCAGTATGTCATACGTAGGTTCCTCATACTAAGCGCAGTATTAAACTTTGCTTTTAATTTCTTAGGATCAGGAATCTTACCCTGCATTATTTTTCATTTGATTGGAACTACACGTTTTCTTTTGCTTCAGGATAATATTGTCACTTCAGTTTGTAGAGATTATTTAATTTCCAGGAAATGTAACGGCCAGTGGGATTGACGAGGATGACGACGATGTACCCGAACTTGTCGAGGACTTTGAAGCTGCAAGCAAGACAGAAACAGGTGAGTTAGTGATCATATTAATGCCAGTAGGATAGTTAAGAATTTATTATGGGACATAACTTAAGTGGATATTGCTATACATGTAAATGGCTCACTTTAGATGGAACTTCCAATTTGGATTTATGAGTGTATATTGTACCTGTAAATGTTACATGGCAAATTGGACATTTTGGTGAATATTTATATTAAATTATTTATTAAGTTTTTAGTTTAATGGATTTAGAAACCTTACAAGATACGGTATTGACAACGTTTGTCAAATTGGAATCGTTGACTTTGTTTTACGAGCAGAAGGTCATTGTAAAGATTTTCTTTGTTTCTCATGCCATGGGCTTTCTTGAACCACTGGTTTGATCTTATTGATAGGGAAACAATAAAGAAAGGATAGCCATCTTATAGGTAATGTTTTACATTGAAGTGTTACAAAGTGTTCTCAAATAGGGAAGAAGCCTTGGGAGGGGGGTCTTCAAAAAAAAAAAATACGTCATACATAATCCAGTCTCACCCAGCATTAACATCCTGTACACATTCCATAACAAGATTGAATATCCAGTTACAGTGGTATTGCCTTAAATAGCAGCATTGTTTAACAAGTACCATTTATATGTTGACCGATGCTTGTTTGGGTGTGATAATTATTATTCCCATACCTAAGATTGTAGATTATAGGTATGCAGGCACTTTACTTAATATTAAATTGTAAATCTTTGTATAACCATTCAACTTGCTTGGGTGTTTTCAAGAGTGCCCCTGTACAGGCAGAATTTTGTTGTTCCCTTGTTGGTCCATTTGATTGAACTCTTGCAACAGTTACATTAGTAAGTTTATTACTGGATAAGTCTTCAGTGAATCTTTTCTCCATTCCCAGTACTGATTTTTGTCCACAATTTTTCCCCCCTCATATGTAGACCTGTCTTGTATGGGCCAATTGGTCTTCTGAGGTTTCCTTAATTCTAATGTTATGTTTGATAAGAGCAATCTTCATCCTAATCACATGCTTTTTCTTGCTCATGTTTAAGGCCAGCCCTCTTATCTCTCACTCTTGGCTCTTGGCACTGAACAGTGGCAGCCACATTGTTTTTGCTATTGGGGCTTACTGGTGATCAGCTTTGGGAGACCTTTTATTTATTTTGGAGCTCAATTTGAGAAAATACTTCCCTATTGGTTGATAATCAGTAAGCCAGCAATTACTGCTTGTTATCCTGCATAATTTGGCTAATCCAGTAATAATAATCCCTAACATAGTTTTGAGTCATAACAGTAATGCTGTATATTTAAAAGAAACTTCTAATTAAAACATGCATGGTGTTCCTCATATTTTTTAATGACCATTAATTTATTCCATAAACTTATGCCAGAAAGTGTAACTTTTTAATATAACTTATTTTATTTTAGTTTTTTCACTGCATTTCAGATATCTTGGTAAAACTTAAAGAATATCTTCATTTTGGTATGTGTGAATCCTTTTCATTTTTTTTTTTTTGGTTTATGTATGTCATGGGTTCATGTGCTGTTTAAATTTAAGCATTGTAGGCTTCTGATGCTTTTTTGAGAAGTTCTACTGTCACGTATTTTTATCAAAATTGTAATGCACTTTCCTAATAGTTTTAAATTTGGTACACATGCCTTGTCAATTAATCATTATGTAACAAATATATACATTTTTTTGTCACTGGGCAGTGTTACCATCTAATTCCTTATGCCTTCCAAGTATAGAAAATGGCTGTTATTCCCTTCACACTTTGATAGCTTAGGGAAGATGTCTTAAAGGTTACTTGAAGGCTACCAACTCCTTAACTAGAGCTGTGACATTAACACTTGATAAGGAATTGGCAGCCTTCAAGTAACTCTGAAGACATCTTCCCAAAGCTGCCAAAGCAAATTTTGTGGCAAATAATAACCATTTTATATATCTTCGAAAGTATAATAAATTAAGACACTACCCAGGGGGGCAAATTGTTACATAGTGTAATGTGTTACTAAGATTTCATATAGTTTTATGCTAATGAATATAGCCATTTGATTACACCAAATGAGAAATATGAATGAGCAAGAAGCTAGTGTACTTGAAATAAGAGATAAGTTTGCAGAACAAAATTCTTACATGAAAATTTACTAAACTTTGGGATTAGATTCTTCTAGGAATCTGTGGTTAGTACTCTTACCTTCTTGCCTTATGTAGTTAGCTCTGTTTACTGGAATTGGGGAGTCATCAATTAGTAAAAAAAATAAAAAAGTATCCAAGAATAATAACAAAAAAAAGTTTGTTGTACGTAAGTATCAACGTAGGAAAAAAATGAAACAAAATTCCAAACTTTTTTTTTTTTTCATTTCAAGACACTGTCAAGAAATATAGAGAAGATGGGTTTGGGATTACATATCCCACTACACGAGAGCACATTAATATCCATAAACAAAATATCGAATAATGGAAGTGACATGATTCAATGGAGAAAGTCGAATTTACTAAAATTTCGATACTACAGGTTTTCTCAAGATATGTGATTTGGCCTACAAATCTCGGAATTTTGCATAATATTGCATTTTTAAGCAAGTTTTCTTGCATTTTGTTTTAGAGGCTATTCCCTAATTATTGGAATGTTCAACACAATTATTATTCGTTTACATAATTTTTATACTTGTCAAAAATGTTAACAATTATAGATAGCTTAAACTAATATAATTCTGGACTTCAATGCAAAATAATTTATAATTTTTAAGATTTTTGACAGGATTAAAATTATGTGAAGAATAATATTGTGTAGAACATTGCAAGAATTAGGGAATAGCCTCTCCCCATTGAATCATGTCACTTCCATTATTAAATATTTTGTTTATGGATCTTGATAGTCTGTAGTTTGATCTTGATGAGACTGCAGGAGAGTGAGACTACAATGTACTCGGGCGTAGTGGGATATATAATCCCAAACCGTGTCTTCTCTGTACTCCTTGACAGTGTCTTGAAACAAGAAAATGTTTAGAATGTTTCATTTTTCCCTACTTGGATACTTAAGCGAAAGTTATATACTGTAGTAGTAAAAAAGTGTCCCTCACATTGTCAGATATAAACATGCTCCATTTGCTGAACTTGTCAAATAAGTCAAATAAAAAAAAAAATATATATATATATATATATATATATATATATATATATATATATATATATATATATATATATATATATATATATAATATAATATAATATAATATAATATAATATAATAAATAAAATATATATAATATAATATATATATTAATAATAATAAAAAATCACCAGCAGCACATCACGACTTAGACAAAGTGTATCAGAGTTCCTTGTGAATTAGTGTATATAATTTTTTTTATAATTTTCATATCTACAAATTTTTCCTTTTCTTTTTCTTGCAATATTGTGTGTGGTTTACAATCCCCACTACCTTCTGTGCCCAGCATCTCTGATCACCTATTTAGCCTTTTTCTCCTACCTTTAACCCCTGGGCTGTGCACCTGTTAATAGCCGACAACCCATGGTGAAGTAAATTGTTATCCCTTTTCCTTCTAATAATGTTAATACAGTCCTTGATCATGCTGGGGGAAGGGAGGGAATTTCATGAGACACTTTGTGATGGGGGAGGAAGTATAACAAACAGGTTACACACACAAATCACAATAGCGTGATACATCAAATGAACAAAATGATTAAGGCTGCGTCTGGGATCCTCCCGGACGTAGGTTTGAACCCGCATCACGGCCCTTGTGGATTTGTTCAAGATACAGGTGTTATCTTGCTACAAGATACAGAATATATAATGTGTAAACCATTGCTATTTGGTATGCATATTATTGATACAATTATATTCTAAGAATAAGTATTTTTGCTATCAAGCATATTTTGCACAAAATTCTATAGCACGCATTGAATGTATAATAGTTTCTTCAGATTTTGAATGTTTTTTTACCATGAATTTTTAAGTGCAGTGTTGTGTTGGGCAGTCGATAATATTATTTTTATCAGAATGTATAGAATATTGACACATTAGTATCATTAATATGTTACTATTTTCTTTGAACAATAGTTTTGCTTTGAATAGTTTTTGCTGTTATTACACTATATATACACATTTTATGTATAACTATACATTTTTGTGCACCATAAAGTACCTCTATGCTGGTCTGGCGAGTCAAAAAAGCATTGTCACTTCATGCTAATTCCTCACATCCTCACTGCAAAATTCCTCCTCCTAACATACTATGCACATTGCTGCTATTATCAGAATCTTGGTCACTAAATCCTGAAAATGAATAATTTTCTACAAATTTAAGTTTGCAAACTAACATGAGCCAATTGTCAAGATGCTTAAATGGCCCAAACAGTGGCAGTGCACCATATTGGTTGCTTACTCAGTAAACTCAGTAAGCACACACCTTTACACTCAGGAATGGTGTCGTTTAATTTTTTTTAAATGTCTGTTAACTAGATCCCTGAGAAAGCCAATGTGAGCCCAGTGTTCCCGCTGAACATTTAAATCTTACGCATTACTCTACAGCATACCCTAAAGCCAAAATCATACATACGTATATGTAGTGTATAAATATACATATATAGAGTATGTGTTAAACTTGAATGGTCCCAAGGCCTAATGCATGGCTATCATGCATTAAACTCTTGACCCCTGAAGGCTTCAATCCCAGCCAGCCAGGTCCTCCATACCCATTGGCGTGTCCAGTACTATGACCACTTGTCCCCCCAGACTGTACAAAAGTATTGGAAAGTTGTCTTGACTTTTAACAGAGATGGTACCGAAAGCAAACTGGTATCAAACTAACAAATGGGTTAAAAGGCAGAATAGTGAAGGGCAAAAGAGGAGGGAATCCTGTTAATATTTAATACAGTTTCAGATGCCAGATATTGTTACAGTAGCAGAGAAAACTAAAGGATAAAATTTTTAATGCGTTGGTATTCCCAAGGGGGCTATGCTCTTTGAAGATGCTACAGGAAAGTTAGAAAAGGTAGAGGTGTT